TTTAAGACGTTTTTAAACGTCCTAGACAGCAGTGGACGCCCTTCACAGCATATAACCTTCACCGAGGGTTTCCCTCACACTGGGGTTGCGTGTGGTTTTGGAACAGCAGTTTCAAAAAAACGGTCACCTGCTGCACACTGCCCAGTCTCCCAAAGCCCCACTCCCCTCCCCAGGCGCTGGAGCGACGGGACGGCGGGGGTGGGGGTGGGGCAGGCACAACCGCCGGCCGCGTGCACGGGCCTGCTGCACTGCGCAGGCGCGGTGCCGGGTTGGGGGCGGGGCCGGAGCCTAGTAGCTGCACGCTCTTCCTATTAAAGGTCCCCGGGTCAGCTTCTGATCCAGAGACTCCGCGCCCTAAGGGAGGCCAGGAGATCGGGCTTCTGGTTTTCGGCAGCTTTGCCTCGCCCTGCACCCACAATTTGTCCCCAGGGCTCCTCACTCTCCTACACTCAGCCGGTCTAGGACGGCCCCTCACTGTATCCATCCGGCAGCTGCTGGTGCCCTGCCGGGCATTCTTCCTCTCCTGAGCCCCGATTCCTGCTCCTCTTGTCACTGAGGTCTCACTCCTGCAGACTTGATGGGGGTACATGGGCGAAGTGACCATCAATTTGCCATGTAGGGTGGGATTGAGAATCCCAAAGCGACTTCTCCACTTTACAGATGCGTGACTTTGGGTGGTTATTTACACTTTTTAAACCACCTTTGAAATATGGACACACATTTTAAAATGTTAATTTTCTTCTAGGGCCACAAGTCAAAAAGGCCTTCCTCACCTACACCTAGCCAATTGAAATGGCCATTGGACTTAAAATTTTAGGTGGTTAAGTTCCCATAAAATTCATCCTATACTCTGCTGCCAGATTACATATCTTGAATATAAGCTTGTTACCCCCACTTCCAATTAATAAACATTAGGAAAAAATGACTCCAAACTTTGTCACTACCCTTCTCCTCTGATGGTACACATTTGGGTCTTCATAATGTTATTTATGCCTCTTTCTCCACTAGTTTCCCTTTCTAAATTTCTGTTAAAATCCTACGATCCTGCATAGCCAACTCAAATGCCATCTCCTTCAGGGAGCCACTTAGGATTTTCCCAATGTCCTTGTTCTCCTCGAGACAAGACTTTTTAATTCTACTGGAAAATGGTTAATGGTACCTGACACTATCTTGTAATACAGTTGGGCATCTATGTTATCCTTTCTACTTATCACCCATTTTTAAATTCCTTGAGAGCAGGAATTATGACTTTTTTTTTTTTAAGATTTTATTTATTTATGAGAGAGAGAAAGAAAGCACAAGGGGGGGGAGCGGCAGGCAGAGGGAGAAGCAGGCTCCCCACGGAGCAGAGAATCCAACGCAGGACTCGATCCCAGGCCCCTGAGGTCACGACCTGAGCTGAAGGCAGACGCTTAACCGACTGGGCCACCCAGGCGCCCTTACGTTCTTTCATTTCTTCACAACAATCCTGTCAGGTCGGTGTTACCACCACTAAGCGATGAGGAAGCTGAAGCGCAAGAGTGACTTCCCCACGTAGCAGAGCTTCGAATGGCAAACCTCGCATTTTGAACTCTCTTCCATCCTATCAGCGTTAGTTATTGAAAAAGTAATTAGTACTACTACAAGATCCTTTTCCAGAATCAAAGGAGATGATGTTCACAAATGCCTTTTCCAAACTAGAACATGTTACTACTCAAGGGTAAGGTATTAATTACAAGGAGGACGTCATAATAAGTAGAACAAATAGGTATCCAATCTCTATCATTTAGAGCACAAAGCCTTGAATAAACTGTCCCATGGCATGGAGGTCATCGATAGGCATTTTAATCTTAACATTTCATGTGGATGTACTTTTAAAAAAAAGTAACGGCAGCGGTGCCTGGGTGGTGCAGTTGGCTGAGGGCCGGACTCTTGGTTTTGGCTCAGGTCGTGATCTCAGGGTCCCGGGATCAAGCCCTGAATCATGCTCCCTGCTCAGCGGGGAGTCTGCTTGTCTCCCTCTCTCTCTGCCCCACCCCCCACTCAATCTCTCTAAAATAAATAAATAAATCTTTAAAAAAGTAATGACAGGGGGCACCTGGGTGGCTCAGATGGTTAAGCATCTGCCTTCGGCTCAGGTCATGATCCTAGGGTCTTGGGATCGAGCCCCGCATCGGGCTCTCTGCTCAGCAGGGAGCCTGCTTCTCCCTCTCCCTCTGCTGCTCTCCTTGCTTGTGCTCTCTTGCTCTGTCAAATAAATAAATAAAATCTTAAAAAAAAAAAAAGTAATGACAGGGTGCCTGCATAGCTCAGTCAGTTGGGGGTCTGCCTTCAGTTCAGGTCATGATCCCAGGGACCCTGGGTTTGGGCCCTCACTGGGTCCCTGGTAGGCAGGGAGCCTGCTTCTCCCTCTCCCTCTGCCTACAGCTCACCTTGCTTGTGTTGGCACTCTCTCTCTCTGTCAAATAAATAAATAATTTTTTAAAAAAGTAATGACATTTAGCTATTTATACTAGAAGGTACTGAATCTGTTACATATCCTTTATGGAATTTAATATTCATACGGCACTAGGATGTGTTTTACAACAAAAGACAAAAATAAGACATGGTCCCTGCTCAGAAGGCTTACAATCTGAAAGGCATTAAGATACAGGGGATATAACTATAGGGACAGAAAACTTTAAAAAAATTTTTGGCGTGAAAAATGAGTCTTTGGTGATAATGAAACAGGTTTTAGAATGGGATATTAAAGGGAAGGTACTCATTTGCATACTGTGAGAAACGAGTGATTTGGTTTCTGGGACATAATGAACAAGTGATTCTCAGCTGATGGCAAGAAGATGCCTCCTTGGATATCAGAATATTTGGGGCTAGAACAAAGATGCTATGAAGTTTCAAATCAAGATGGTACCCTGAGCCCTTGATTTGATTGAGTTTCCTTTATTTGTAAAATTCAGTTAACATTAAAGGGAATGTGGGTCTTTTTTGGTTTCTAAAAGGAAGAATGCTTTAAAAAGAGAGATGAGAGGTACCAAGATGAAGACCAAGAAAAATAAACAGTGCCGTGTGGTGCTAAAAATAACAGGGAAAACGACAGAAATAAAGGGGAAAAGTGAAAGGTAAGGATCACAAAGCAATGAGAAGAATTCACAGGATGACAAGGTTAAACAGGAAGGTCAGGTGAAGGAAGACTTAATATGAAATTTGTCCTACGAGAAATTATTAAAAGGTTTAAATATGTAACCCAAAGTTCCTACTGAAGCAAAAAAATTTAAAATAATTGTGATTAAAAGGAAAAATATAATGTAAAATATTTATTTAATAAAAATAATTTTATAATCTATACAGAATTGAATAAAAAGTACAACAAATTACTTTCACTTCTTTGCAAAACTGCATACAGTACAACTTACAAACTGGGCTCAGCATTCTGTAAATATGGCCACACACCAGGATATGAACTTATTATTGTCTTAAATTTAAAGGCTCCAGTTGTGTATCACGAACTTTGAATTAAATTCCAGGGAAATATTGCTTTGGTAACAGGAAGATTTTGATTGTACCACAGTCCATTTTATTAAAAAACATTAAAATAAAATCCCTCGAACACCACTTTTCTACCTGTTTCTGAATAAACAATCCCCTACGTAGCAAAACAAAAGATACAATATAAAATTAGAGGCCGTATTTTTATGACATCACTTCTCCTTCCCTTAGTGTTCTGCTCTTGCCTTGATCTGAAAGGAAAGTGAGTGGAAAATGGCCTATACTTACCCTCTTTCATTTACTTCTAGTGTTCCCACTTATACTAAATGAATATGTCAACTTTGGAATCTTGATACTATTATTCACACTACTTACCTGTGTTATTCTAAATAAGTTAACCTAGATTTTTTTTTTTCAAGATAAGGTAACAAAGTCGGCTTTAAAATGGTTTTCATGTCTCACATACGCAGCCACTTGGTTGACTAATTACAGAATTCGATGCTTACATAATAACATTTTTCCAGTACCTTAGAAATGAAATCACTAGCAATTATTATTTTAAGCAGATATTCCAAGATGATCCACCCTTACAAAGGCAGATTTAACGTACAAAACGCAGCAATCAAGTCTATCCTAGTTCCTGTCCCACTGAAATAATTAAAAAGAGGCTCAGTTTGTGAAAAGGCCTTCTAATAATCCAACAAATCTAACTCCTAATGACATCTTGGATAAGAAGGACAAATAATATATAAGCTATAAATAGGGATGAAGATATTAAAAAAAAGACTTCCATTTTATTTTGGAAATAAAAGGAAACACGAATACAATATGGGCTAGCTGCATCTTTAGCTCATGTATTAACTTTTCATCATAGAATTAAAAGTCCTTCATACTGAAGACTAAAAGACAGGCAAAACATACCTTAAGTGTTCTGATTAGGTCTCTTCATTTAGATTATTAGCAAGCCTCAAAACTTGCCTTATTTTCTAACTAAATGAGCTTCTCTGGGAAGCATATCAATAAAGCAAAAGTGTATTTCTAAAGATAATCTACATAAATACAAAATTGTCAAGGTGGAAACAGAACATTCATACAATGAATTTTTAAAAATAACTGAAAATTAGAAATGACACACATTCCTAATACAACAGAACACCAAACCAGAGCAAATATTGCCAGTGATAAGAACAACTTTCTTCTGTAGAAACACAAATGCACATGAGGAACACAGAAATAAGAATTAAGTTGAACAGAGGCAGGTGCTGTTAGAACCTATTTCTCTTCTGACCTGTAATATCCCATGACCCCTGGGAAGCCCTGGTCCCACCAGGCCAAGCCCCTGGCTGATCAGATACAGGGAAGTAACTTGACCTATGAAACACCATACTCACTTGCTATCAAGTATAAACGCCATGTGGGACGCCTGGGTGGCTCAGTCGGTTAAGCGTCTGCCTTCGGCTCAGGTCATGATCCCAGGGTCCTGGGATCAAGTCCCACATCGGGCTCCTTGCTGAGCAAGAAGCCTGCTTCTCCCTCTGCCTGCCTCTGTCTCTCTCTCTCTGATAAATAAATAAAATCTTGAAAAAAAAAAAAGTATAAACGCCATGTGGTGCTTGAGTGCTCTTATTACTTGGTTTTCAAAATCAAGTTCAAGCAGAACAAAGTAATCCTTAAAACAGCTTTCACAAATAATCCACGAGATAAACTTCACCTCTGGCTCCTCTAAACAGTATCGTTACTCTAGGAACACAGAGTATAGTCAGTTGGCTGCTTTGAAACCTTAAAAAGCACATTCATAAATATACGTCTACATATTAAAACATTAAATACATCCAGGCACAGTTGCTGTGCAGTTTTTGCTACAAGCAGCAGCTTATCAGCCGTGTATTATGACGTAGATACTTGAGAACTCAATTCTGCATCTTCTTGCTTTCTACATTTCTTCATAACACTAACTGTACCATTAGCCAGGAAAACCACAGCGATGAGTGCAAAATACCCAGCGTAGATCAGGAACTAAAGGGGATGGGGAAAGAAGTAATGTAGAGAATTATCAATTAGAAGATGAGATGTTTTATTTTATATATGTGAACATATCCTATAATTAAAGGTATATTCAGTTTCTCAGGAAGCCTTCACAAAACACTGTATGCTTATACAACCTGCCAGGTGCTGACAATAAAACGAGGTAGCACAGCCTGGTGGGATGAAAGCCTGACCGCCTCAGTGTGGCTCCTGACTCCATCCCTTACTAGCTGTGTGACCCTCACTGAGATACTTCATCTCTGAGCCTCGACTTCATTTACAAAATGGAACTCACAACACTCCCTACTTTACAGGGTTGCTTGGAAGTGATGAGATCATGTATATAAGTGTTTATTAGCACACAATGCTAAGGCTGCTAATACTACTGGTTTTTTGGGTTTTTTTTCTTATTTTTGTTACTGTTATTGTTACAAATGAATCATGGTCTCTTGCCCCCAAGTTGGTAGGTTAAGTGTGACTAGCAGGCCAAATTCTGAAGATAAAGAACTTCTGTTCTTCCCCAGACGAGGGCAGTAGAAAGTCAACTATATTCCATTACGGGATTTCCTTTTACTTTTCATACGCATCTTCTCTAGGCTAATATTTGAATGTGACTATATAGTTTATCAGCATCTTCATCATGATCATCATCTTCTTAAAAGAACTTATGAAATAACTATCAGCTGGCTCATGAGTGCCATATGGGTGCCACTGTAAGTCTTCGAGCCAGGTTCTTTAAAATTTGGATACATTTTCCTATAGGAAACCTGTTGATTAATTATGGCAGTTAAGAGTTTCAGCAGAGCCTACACAATTCGAGAATTATTAATTTTTAAACCCACTATTTCTATAGCAGGATGATAAGCACTTAGTTTCTCTCCTATCCTCCATTCCAAATCTAAGCACCTAACCCTTGAGAGGTCTTCTCAAGGTGTTCACTGCTGGTAGTAATTGGGGAACATACAGAAAGTAATAAGCTCCCACTCCTCTGCTCCCCCCGCCCACCTTTTTGAGGCAGTATGATCCAGTGAGGGATGATTAGGCTTTAGAATTAGAAGCTGGTTTAAATCCCAGCTTTGCCACATCATTACTGACCGTGCAACCTTAAACAACACTTTACATTACGTAACATCTCTCGGACTCATTCTCTCGATGTCCAAGCCTGACAACGACCTTGCAAAACGCTATACAGAGTACCTGGCACACAGAAAGCACTCGGTGCCCATCAGCTACTATGATTATCATTTCTGTTAGATCTCTTTAGTAAAAACAAAGTTAATTACTGCTACCATGTTGGGCCTTTGTATAGTAAGAAAACTAATATCTAAGTATGGAGGGAGTCATCTAGGCTGGGATGGGGGTGAGGTAGGCACTTTTTGATTCAATTGCCCATTTTGCCAGAGTACAGAGCAAGCCCCACCTATGAACTCACAACGCACGAAGCATATACGACTGTACGCTTCCTGAATGAACACAAGTATCCACAATGTCACAGTGTGCAGCTGTCTCCTCGAGGGGTCACTTGTTAAGAATCTCCATGCTATTCAGCAGCAGCAAGTCACTACCCTGGTATTTGGGTGGGTGGTATTTTCGATAAAGAAGGGAGGAGTCATACAGTACTGTGAGATGGAGCAGAGCATCTCAAACACGGGATACAGTGTTCCACGCACAGAATTAAAAATGGAAGGAAATACTGGATGAGGAAGCAGAAAAGCTCGGCCTGGAAGGAACCAACATTACTTCTTGGCTCTACTGGGCTGTTTAGTAATGTTCAGCTCAGAAATGTTCTAGGTCCCCATCAAAAAGATGATGGTCCCAACATCCTCCAGGGAGAAAAGAACTAAGGATGGGGGTTGACTAAAGGAAGGAGGGAACACTTCTACTTTTTATTTTATATCTGTCTACACTGTTTGAATTTGCTTTCATGAAGATCCACTCGGTCACCCTGATCGAGTGATAACATCTTGAGTGTTGAAACAAAAATCTTACCTGAGTGGTGATGTCTAAGCCAAGGCCACTGGAATCCACCACAATGAGGGTGAGCAGTGTCTGCAGGGCCAGAGCACTGAAGGTGTTCACACCAAACACCAGGGCATAGCGCTCCATGCTGAGGTTAGCAGCAATCTGAAAACTTAAAACAATCCACAAAAGAAGAATGAATAGATAAGAATCACTTCCGAGGTGGTTAAGATTTCTACTTCAGTTGTGAAGAGTAGCCCCTTCTTTCTATTGTCACTTCCCTTGCCAACCAGGTGAAAAGCATGTTGTTGCTAAGCGGTGTAAAGCTCATGCAAACTTCCGAACAGAGTAGGAATATACGAACAAGGAAATAAATGAGCCTTACCTAAGTGCTTCCTCAGGAGAAAAACATATAATACAATGCTTCCTCCTGTTTGCCTCTTTTAACTAGAAATTTCAATTGGTTTGTAAAGAAACCAAAAAAGTTTATCCTGTCACAACTTTTCTGAATGCTTCTTTGACTCAAAATACATACGTTGCTATAGTGATGAGTAACATGTAGATGATTCTGAAGACCACATAGGATGTGTAGCACACCCAGATGTTGCACACAGTATCCATGATATACACGGAGGCAGCAATCAGCAGGGAAAACAGAGACAGCGTCATCTCCCCCCACGTTGACCAGGATATTTTTATGTAACCCACTGCAAACACGGCAACAGCACCTACAAAACAAGACAGAGAAAACCGATCCAGTTACTTTGCTAAACAAGTGCTCTTTTAATGAATTAAAAATTCAACTTAGATTATTAAATTTTTAAAACCTTGCAACTTATAAATAGGGTAGCTCAAGATTAGGGAGTGTCTTGAAAGTCAGGTAGAGAATTTTGGACTTGATGGAATAAATAACATGGAGCCACACTGAGCGACAAGGAGAGACTGAATGAGAGCAACTGATAATGAGATGGAAAAGGAGGACACAGACCCAGGGATGCTGCTGAGGAAAAGCCACTGAGGCTGGCGCAAGGCAGGAGTCAAAAACAGCCACTGCTTCCAGCTCAACAATGTGGCTGGAGGGATCACCCCCTCTCCTAACTGAGGAGCTGTTTAGAACATGGCAAAAGGGCATCTCTGCTCTTTGGTAACATGACGAGGCTGATAATGATAGCTAAAATGTGCAGAGTGCTTTCTAAGTGCCAGACACAGTTGTAAGTGTTTATAGAGATCATGGGATCTCTTCTAAAAATCTTAAGAAGTAGGTCAACAAATTAGAAAGGGGCGATAGAATACAATGGTCAAGGACACAGGCTCTGAGTTCAAATCCTGACTTTACTACTTACCATCTATCTGATCTTGGGCAGGTTATCAACCTATCCGTCCGTGTTTCCTTAACTGTAAAATACGGATAGCAACTGTACGTGTCTCAGGCATTTTGTGGGGACTGAGTTAATACACGTAAGTCCTTAGAATAGCACTTACTGCATATTAACACTCAACATATAGTAGCCATTGCTATAAACTACTGTATATTGCCATTCAAAGTTTCACATCAAGTGGCAAAAGCACCTTACAAATACAGAGATAATGGAAACCTGAATAAGAAGACAATTTTGAAAATCACTTACATTAAGGCTTCCCTAAAGGACATAAAGAATTCAAGTTTGTTAATCATGCTCATCCACGACTTGAGCGCTGCTAAATTTCTTCCTAAATTACAAAATCAGAACTCAAAATAAAGAAACCATTCCTTGGGGTCACTTCAAATTTAGGAGGGGAGGGGAAATCTGATTAATGTTGACCAAACCACCAGAGGGAGAACCACCGCCCCACCCTGCTTACCCAGGAGGGTGGACACGGCCTCCACACCACCATTGTAGACAGCATCATTGCGAGAGGGCATCACCTTCTCCCACAGGCCCTGTGTGTAGTTCACCACCTGGAAATAGCCACAGGTGGAGAGGGCCCACCACACAGACCAGCAGAGCAGAGGGCGAGAGGAGTAGCACATCAAGAAGTCATTCCACAGGACCTTCAGCACAAGGAGACGGTCTGGCTTGGGTTCCTACAGAGGAAAAGGGGAAGAAAGCTCAAATACTAGGAAGGCAACCACAGAAAACAACTGTTAGAGACTTCATGTTCTATTTGACACACATTTTTCTTTGTCCTTGTGAAAACCAACTGCTTATTTATTTTTATGCATACAAATGGCATGGAGGCATACTCCATTTTATTGTGCTTCCCTTTACTGCACTTTGCAAATATGTGTTTTTAACTAATGGAAGGTTTATGGCAACTCTGTGTCGAGCAAGTCTATCAAGAGCCAGGTTTCCCACGGTGTTTGTCACATCGTGTCTTTCTGTCACATTTTGATAATTCTCACAATATTTCAAACTTTTTCATTATTGTATTTTTTATAGTGATCTGTGATCAGTGGTCTCTGATGTTACTACTGTAATTGTTTTGGGGTGCCATGAACAGTACCCACATAAGACGGCCAACTTAATCAGTAAATGTGTGTGTTCTGTCTGCCCTACCAACTGGCCACTCTCTATTTCCCTCTTTTCAGGCCTCCCTATTCCCTGAGGCACAGCAACATTGAGATTAGGCCAATTAATAACCCTAAAATGGCCTCTAACAGTACCTTCTGCTATGCTTTTGTTCTATTTCCTTTGCCTAGAATGTTCTTCACTATTCTTCTATTCAAATCTTATCTGACTCCCAAAGTCTATCTCAAACACCAGGTCTTGCAGGGCATGAGAACCTCCAGATGTGAACACAGGTAGGTATAGTTGGTATAGTTGGGTGTTTGCAAGGCCAAGTTACAATACCATGCATTTCTCAGCCCTGCTGTGCACAGAGGGGGACTAGTTTGTAGCCAAAACAACAGCTAGGATAGAAAAATTTCCGAGCGTAAGTTTGCTTCTTTTATTAAGTGCTTCTGAAGGACACAATCCCAATACTAACTCTTGCTACAAACAACAAACATTTTCATGACGAAAAGGAGACTATCATTATCTCCTCAGCTGTTGATATTCCATTATCCGAAACACAGTAAAAACATACAGAGTGAGACTTAAGTGATGGTAACAAGTAATGTACATTTGGTTTCAAGAAAAAAAGACAAAAACAAAATATGGATCAGGGAAGAATTGGTACTATTGAGACAGGTTTGCAATTTAGCAACAGTGAAGTTCTCGCCAAACATAAAATGCTTCTGGGACACTCTCTCTCCTGCTCCGGCCTGTTGTACACTTACTCTGCTCCCAGATCAGTCATTCTTGCCTTGGCCTGGTATCTCACCGAGCCCTCATTCCTAAACCAGAAAGTAGGGCATTAACCACCGGTTAAGAGTTGACCTGTCTGGGGCGCCTGGGTGGCTCAGTCAAGCATCTACCTTCGGCTCAGGTCATGATCCCGGGGTCCTGGGATTGAGCCCCGCATCAGGCTCCCTGCTCCGCGGGAAGCCTGCTTCTCCCTGTCCCACTCCCCCTGCTTGTGTTCCCTCTCTTGTTGTCTCTGTCAAATAAATAAATAAAAATCTTGCAAAAAAAAAAAAAAAAGAGTTGACCTGTCTTTGGCTACTGTTTTGGGGAGAGTACACTTATCTGAAGTTCAAGGGCACTAAGCTATAACAGGGAAGGGCACAACCATGTATGGCTACACACTCTCTCCCCTCATCCCAACTCAGACACATTCATTGGCCGGGGTGTGACTGGAGATATCCAGAGGGAATGGTTTGTGACAAGGAAAAGGCAGACTATGTCCTTCATGTGAGTCTCTATACAATTCTGGCTTTGTGCTTGGGGCCAGCCTGGAGGGAAAGGGGGCCCACTGTCCCAACACAGTCCTCCCACCAGTTACTGTCACCATTTCATTTCTTTAGATTCTGAAAGCTATTTTAACATGAAAAGACATAGGAAGATAAGTATCACATACCATGGAGCAAAAAACCCCATGCAGTTATGAAACTCCATGTAGACTATAATTTCATGTACTATAAAATATATACTTATGAATACATACTTATGTATATATGAAAAGAGATGTTTAGGAAGGTCACTAAACTATTAATAGTTTATTAATACAATCTACTATTGTGGTGCTAGCAGATCAGATGATTCTGACTTTTTATGTAGTTTTCTTTTACTGTTTAATTAAAAAATGAAGTATAAATCTTTTTATAAAATCAGATTTTTTCCTATTAAGATGATATATTTATTACCTATATATTTTATCTATAGTGACTCTTGAAATTAAGTAAATAAAGGCCATTTTCTCCCTAAAATGCGAGGATAATCTCAGTGGAATGAGAACCAAGCAATGCTCCATGGATGCCTACTCACACCATCCCTAAACTCAACTCCTACTCATTTATCACAATGGGCATCTAGCTTCAGATTTCACTTCAAGAATGGGTTCTGACTCTATAAACAAAACAAAACAACAAAAACAACAACAAAAAACCTTGGAAAAATTACTTCTCTTCACCAAGGAACAGGAGTCTCTAATACAGTGGTTTCTGAAGTCAACTGGATCTGGGTTTGAATTTTGACCGTGCTACTTTCTATGTGCCCTTGGGTGAGTTATCTGATGTAAGCTTCCATTCCCTCAACTGTACGAGGGGGACAATGATACCTACATCACAGAGTTTTTATAAGGATTAAACGAGCTAATGAATCTAAGATTCTTAGCACAGTATCCAAGTACCCAGGTCAAAATAAATGGGAGCTGAGGCGATAATGATGATAAAGAACAGCAGGAGTATACCTGCCTACACGCAGATGGAAAAAATTTCTAAATCTTAGGCTTTTTACTATAAAATGGAAATTAATGTTTATTTCAACAGGCTTTTGGAAGAACTAAATGGGTGTTACTCAGTATGTAGCAAGTGCTCACTAAATGCTGATTTCCTTTGTACTCTATCATGACCCACTGATACAATCAACGAATATTTACGAGTCCCCATACTGCGTGGTTGGCGATAGATTCTGGGAATACAGCAGAAAAGTCCCTGCCCTCATTAAACTGACATTTTGGTAAGGGAGATAGACGATAAACACACACACATGAGAGAGTTTACAGTAGGAATGATACTATGAAGAAAAGAAAGCAGGTAATGGGCTGGCAAGGGACCGTGGTAGAGAAAAGGAAGGACAATGAGAGTGTCGAAAGGCTTTCTGAAAAGCTCATGTCTGAGTTGATACCTGAGTGAAATATGGAACCAGCCATGAAAGTCTGAATGAAGGGCAGTCCTGACTGAGAATCTTCGGGCTGAAGTTCCGAAGTGGGAATAAGTTTGATGTGTTTCAGCCAGGTCCATGTGGAGCAGAGCCGCGAAATAAGGCCAGATTGTAGGGGGTCTCAAGGCCACAATGCGAGTTTTGGATTTTCTTCTACATACCATAGGAAACTATGTGGGGGTGAGGGATAAGATAAGTAGGGTTTAATGCCTAAACTGAAGATTTAAGTCAAGGGCAGGTGACTGCAATTAAACCACTTCTATGATATTATGTGTTCCTAACTATACGGGTGACTGGACAGGAAAGGACAAGGTGTTCGTGTCATGCCTGGCAATCTGAAGAAAAATGTACCTTCAGATCAATCAGCTTGTAAAACTCAGTATTCTAGAGCTAAGGAAAGTTTAGTGATCATCCGGTTTAACATTCTACGTTTAAGAGTAGCCTCAGTTAAAGAATTAGTGGTAGAATTAGTACCGGATTCTAGTGACACCTTTCATAAAGTTCAGAAGACCAAGGGGAACCAATTCAAAGTGAAAGATTATTTGCAGCCTCACAATAACTATCTGCAGTGAAGGCACAAAGCTGTTCTTGATTACTCATGTCTAATGATAAAGATAACAGAAATGAATATATATTGATTATCTACTACAAATACTCACTTGAGACCCTTACATTGCCTCTCAATTTAACACTCGAAATAACCCTGTGAGGTAGACAGAAGAATGAGAAAGAAACTAAAGTCTCAAAGAATTAAGTAACTTGCCCAAGATCACCCTGTTGGTAAGTACTTGAATGCTGGTTTGATCTTCAAAATCCACTATGGTGTGCTGCTAGAAATTATAGTAAGTACAAAGTGGAAACATTAATGTTGCTACACTCAAACACACACATACACAAAGAATGCTTACTCATCGTAAAGGGTATCAGTCTACAAATAAAAGTATAGCTAAAAGGTATTGTTTATTAAGTATTAATTGTGTGTCAGGCCCTGTGCTAAAGAAGTGGCTTAATTTCTATCATTTCTAATGGATGAGCAATTGAAAATAAACCAGGTCCAATTATAGGCCAAGCACAGAAGGAATCCCGTTTCCTATTTAGGAAAGAGAACACCTGGCCTTGCTGGGATGTCGACATACTCTGCCCCACAGCAATAGGCTCATTCTGAAAAGAACTCACAAATACTGTAAGGTAACTTGTGGACGGGGCTGTCACTTTGACTCCTACTTCATTTTCCCTTTCCATAAAGTCAAGATCAAACTACCCACCCACCTACCTACTCTTCTTTACTATATTTACCACAATTATGATTTACAGTTCGGTTATGGGCTTTGTCAACTTAATATGGCGTGGCGATCCCCAATATCCATATTCTGACTTCCTTCAAGCTTGTCAAGAGAAACAGCACTATTTTAGCCCTATACAGCTGCCAAGGATATGATGGAACTGACTTGCTTCTAACTTTTACCACACTGTAGCCAACATGATGGTTCTGACCATGTTGTCGCCCCAGTGAAAGGCTTTATGCAGCCAAAGTACAGATCAAAGTGGACCTCATATATGCTCTTTAATGATGTTACAGAGTCTATCAGCGCAATTCGGCACAAGCCACTAATCCCTGTTCCCAATCCTTATCTCTAAAATGAGGTTGATGGCATCTGAAGTCCCTTGTAACTTTAAGATATTCTGACAGTCCTACGGCCTGTGGTTAGAATCACTTCAAACTCTAAAATTTCATAATTCTTCAGCATGTCAAGTACTGACATTTTGCATATGTATAAACAGCAAATGTCAAGCTGGTCTAAGACAGAGTTTTTAAAATGGTCAGTTACAACTCATTAACAGGTAATAAAATCAATGTAGTGGGCAGTGATCTGCATTGTAAAAAATGAAATGAATAAAACAAATAATATACGATATGTTAAAGTTAAAAAATTAAAACTAAAATAAAACTGCAAAGTTTTTACCAAACAAATGAATTCATCAAACTACTGATAAAGTATTGTGCTGTAAAACCTCTGCTTCAGTTATATAGAAAATATATACACACCTACAAGTGGAACTTGTTCCTATGTAAGATGTGTTTCTTACCATGTTTCTTACTCATGTTCAAAATGGTTTAAAATTTACTGGTCTATACAAATCTTTAGAAGTATGGCCAATGTTAATATTTAAAATATATATATATAGATAGGTATTATGCATATGTATATACATATTAATTTTAGTAGTCATTTTAACACATTTGAAACAGAATTTTAAAAGGGTCCTTATTCTTTTTCTCTACTATATAAGATCAAATGATTATAACTCTTTCCCTCCTCCATCAACCCTTTGTTGACTTGCCAACATCACTTAACAAACTATGAAGGAATCAGCATTGCATTCCTACTTAATCCTGGGAATTTGATTGATGCTGCTACAGGTGCCCTAGTAATCAAAGTGAGTTTCATGACCAGAGTCACCTAGGCTCAAGCTCTTTGGGATGATAATCTAAGTTTCAACTAGTAACCACAAGTGAAGAGCAGGGGTAGGCGTCAGAGAGTAATTAGATGCCACATGGAAACAATTTGAGTTAACTCCAGGTGGGGAGCCGAAAACCACTCATGTGGGTCCTCTACTCTCATTCAGACTACAAGGCTTATAGAGCTCAGTTTTATGACTGACAGAGCCCACCAGCAGAGTGAGAATGTTAACAGGTTATTTCCAAACATGCCCCATGAAAGCGAAGACTAATTCAGTATGGTTGGAATGAACCTTGCCCCTCGCAGCTTATAACCTGTTGGAAAGATAAAAAGCTTTTATAGAGAAAGGTGAATGATTGGGGGAAGCAATTAATCTTCCTGGCTAGCCAGAACGTATGGATGGATTATTCTTTTTTTTTTTTAAAGATTTTATTTATTTATTTGACAGAGAAAGACACAGCGAGAGAGGGAACACAAACGGGGAGTGGGAGAGGGAGAAGCAGACTCCCTGCCGAGCAGGGAGCCCGATGCGGGACTCGATCCAGGGACTCCAGGATCATGACCTGAGCCGAAGGCAGTCACCCAACCAACTGAGCCACCCAGGCACCCTGGATGGATTATTCTAATGCCATACCTAAGAGACAATTTCATAGTCACACTTTTAATATGTATTCCATCATCATCTTAAATTTTCCTCTTGTGATTATCTTCCTCTGTATTATTCATTACTATCCCACTGTGGGGAAGTGTCAATTGAAAATATAGATATCACTTCCAGCACAGAAGAGGAAGTTAAGTTTCTAACCTTAAATACTTCGGGTTTCAATTCAGAAAACTAGAAGTAGATATTCATCATTTATTGGAATCATTTCATCTATTCATTTAGCAATATTTTCTGAGTGCTTTCTTTATATACCAAGTACTGGGCATCTCTGTCACAAGAAATACAATGTTGTGTAGTCTGACTCTGGAGATCATTCACTCCAAATATATTTGTCATCCCTTATATAAATCAGCCTTACCTTTAATCAATGAATGAACCAATGGACCAACTCTGGATAAAACTGAACAGATGAGTACAAGATCTAGAAAGAGGGGGTGTGTCCTGTCTGGTCACCACTGCTCTAGCAACCACAAGACATTTAAGGCTAAACTTACCGGCTCCTCCTTATTTAGAGGGATTTTTGACTCAATGTCCTCCCACCCAGGAAGGTGGTTAGAAGCTGAGGTGTTGGTTACAATGCCGCCATTTTGTGCCTTGATGCCATTCATTCTCTGGCAAGTGGAAGGAACATGGTGAAAGAAAAGGCTCTTCTGTGGCATAGGCAGAAACCAGGCCACAGCAAAAGCCACAGAAACACAGGTAAGAGAGATGACATTCAGACTGAACAGGGACCAGCCTGCCACGGAGACGAGGATTTGCCCCAGGACAGAGCCCACAGTAAAGCCCACCAAGGTGGCACTCCGACAGTAACTTGTGACTTTCTGGTACATGTTGAGGTCTACCACGCTGTAGATATAGGAGTAATAGGCAATTTCAGTGGCTGTGGCGATGCCATAGAAGAATTCTAAGAACTGGATGGCCAGCAGTCCTTGGGCGTAGAGCAGCATGAACCATGTAACAATAAGGCTGAGTCCCTGCAGCAGAATGACAGGCTTATAACGGAGGTAGTCCGTGGCAAGGAACACAGGGAACAGCAGCACCAGGTAAGAGTAAGTCCATACTGGATAAATTTCATTTAAGACCTAAAAGAAAAAGAAAATTTAAAACCCATTAGTGGTATCAACAGACCTGGAATATTCATAACAATTTATTCTTATAAAACAACCTACCAATACCTCTAATAAATCATCCTTATCAACCAAAGAGATCTCAACAACAATTCTGATAATTGTTTGGCATATACTTTCCCATTTTCACCCCATCATCTTTTTCTGAAAATCCTCCCCCTTCATCAAGGCCTAGCTGGAAGCCGTCCTCGTCCCGGCAGACTTTGCTGAGCTGACAGTGTTCGTGGAGCAACCCTCGGAGCTCCCCTGACCTTTGTGTGTGCCCGTCCCCCCAGGTCCCACGCAGCACTGCTTCCTAACCGAGGTTGCACATCTCCCACGGAGCTTTAAAAAATGCGGATGCCTAGCCAACAACCTCCCAGGAGACTTTTGTCCGAGCCAGAGCTGAGGACCACTGCCTTAGAGGGCAGACTCCTGAGGGCTGACTCACTGTCCAACGCTGACCTGCACAGCCTAGCAACCAGCAAGCTGTGTGCAGGGTACTTGGCTCAATAACTGTTTTGGAAACAGGTTTAAGTGTTTGGGAATCATCATCGATTCTCCCTTCTAGCCACAGAATAGGGAGCCTTGATCCTACCATCTGATTAGGTTTCTCTGATTTTAAGTTTTATTGCTTGGGGGGAACAGATAAAGAGGACAGTTCTGTCCTAGTCTTGACAGAATAATTATCTGTGGATGATAGGATTATAGGCAACTTTGATGTCCTTCTTTTTGCTTGTCTATAATATGAAAAGGATAGAAGTTTTTGTTTTTAATGGATTTTTAAAATTGGAAGAAAGTAGAAATAATCTCTAAAATAAGCTCTCCGCCATACAGACCCCACTGGGATTTCACCCCCAACATTTGATGTGTGATTATCGACAAGTTCCCTTTAGGTTTCGTCTCCATTACCAGTAAAAGAAGCATAAACCCTACACCACAGGGTTGCTTGTTGCAAGGATTAAATGAGAGGATACAGGCAAATCACTCCCTCATTGTATGTATTTAGAGGTCAAGACTTGAGGACTGAAGCTGAAACAGACCCTCTGGGACAATATGAATGAAGTAATTCAACTGACCTGCCATCTCCATTGTTCCAGTATCAATCACTATAGGAGACCCTCTCCTCTTTTATACCTACCATGTCTGGCAAGGTCCTGGGGATGTATGTAAGTTGGTTTTTTAAATGATCATTTCAAAGTCTAGATCAGTGGCCCTGATTTTTAAGTGCTTTCTGAAAGGCAGTCTTGGTAATAGGCTAAATAATTGGCCATGGAGCGTCTAATCCTAGACTCTGACAATCTAAGGCCAAGGGCAACTTTCTTTTTAACTCTCATGTATGCTTCAGTTCACCCAAATGTAAAATGGGCTGTGTTCAGGGTTTAGAGGAACAATAAAGTAAACAGTTATTGTAAAATCTTTTGCTAGTGCAGAGCACAACTACAAAAGCAAAACATAATCTGAAATATATTCCAGACTTGATTCCTTTTTTGATTGGCCAGATATCAAAAGTAACTGGTCTAATAGTCTCACCTTCATAATTTTAGCCTAATTTGTATTCGCATAAATCATTTAGCAATCTCCACTCGATCAGGAAATTTCTTGCACCTGAATATGGGTATGAAAAGAATAATCGTGACCTGTAGAAATGACTGTTATTTCAAAAGTGTGTAAATTTTAGCGACTGAGGAACAAAGTGCACTTGGCTGGCACCACCACAGCCTACGACACCTCAGCAGAAAACCAAAGGGGACAGATTAACTTTGAGATAAAAGCTGTGACTTTTCACAGTGGTGTTCCATTCACGACACCCCACTCTTTTTTTGCCTCTGGTTTTATAGACAGTCTCCTCTAGTTAAGTGTGAAACTGCCTCCTCTAACTCCACACGTTTATTCACCTTCACGTTTTCCCAACACAACAACACAAACCATTAGCCGCCATGCCTTTGCTTTACAAACACTCTCCATCACTTCCTTCCACACCCCACGTTCTCCTGTTCCCACCACACCCTTTAGGACTTCGACTTCTTCACTCCAGCAATATTGTCTGTACCTACGCATGTTCCATACCCTTCAATAACGGCTGTCCCAAAATGATTAACTGCTAGGTTTTTGTTATGGAAATCTCTTCCTTTTAATTATCAACTTAACGTGCTTATGAGTCTTATTCTACTCCTAACACAAAACCACAATTAAGGTAACAAAGATGAGGAAAAGGAACCTGGGCAAACCTGCAATGCCAAGTAGGAATAAAATTAAAGGCGGGTGGAGGGGGAAGAGATGGGTTCTCTTTAACTCATTCTACATGAGAAACCTGACTTTTCTCCTATGAGAGAGATCAACCCAAGATGAATGTCCCTCTCACAGTGTTATCAGCATTATAATAGCAAAGGTCTACTGAAGCACCACACACTATGCTAATTGCCTCACCTATCTTACTTCATTTAATCCAAACAATAACCCTAAGAGGTAGATGCTTTTATTACCTCTGTTTTACAAACTGAGGAAACCTGACCTTACAGAAAGGTTAAGTAAGCTACCCCAAGTTATCACAGCCAGCATTGGCAGAGGAAGGATCAGAACCTTGATATTCTGAATCCACCACACTAAAATGCCTCATTTCTTCAATCAGAAAACTGTTGCTGGTCATCTACTATGTTCCGGGGCTATTTCTAATGCCGGCAGCAGCTTTTTCAACCTATATTAAGGTGCTTTTATAGGGCATTCACGAAGATTAAGACCACACATTCTCCAGAGCTCAGCCATTGGGTCTCCAAAAGATCCTTTCTTTTTCAATGCTACCACGGACAAACTGTTACACCAAAAAAATGTTTCTTCAATAGATACTTTTAATCCTGAAGGGAAACTTCCCACATGCAAAAATGTACAAATTACAGACTCTTATTGTCCATACCCTGGACAATACCTGCTTATCTGAGGTAAAATCTGCCATGTGAGCAAAGGGAATTGATTTTATCTTAAGGTGCCTTTCACCATTCTTTGGATCAGAACTTGTTTGTGCTTTTTTCTGAGATACAGAAAGTCAGGAGAAAACATGTTCATTTTAAGCTCTAATTCGGATTTAGACTTTATTTTAGAATCCAGTTTCAATTAAACGACTAGTTAATAAACTCTTATTTGCACAATATTTTAAGCTGTGTGGATTACAAAAAATAAAATAAAATAAAACAAATCCTCAGTTCTTCAGGAGTTCTGAACCTAATGAGCAATATATATTCGTACGTTATTGATAAGAGAGACAGGAAATATGGGGTTACTTCTTTGAGGTGGACCTTGAAGGAGAAGAAAGTTAGAGGCTAACAAACATATGCACAGATGGGTACAGGAAGCTTATTCCAAGCAGAGATCACACTTTGAGTACAGACTGGTAGAGGAGAGACTGGATATGCTGGATTTATGACTAGAAGATTGATGTGGATGGCATGTGGGCATGTGGAAGATGCAAGGAGAGGAAAGATGTAGCAGGAGATAAGGCTGTTAAGGAAGGTAAGAACCAAATTCTGTAGGACTCTGAATATCAGACACAATAGGTAGAAAGTTGTTTTTTTTTTTATCATCAAAGAAAGGTAGTGAATGTCTGTCAAATCACATGCTAAAAAAGATGAATAAAAAACTGTTGGAGATACAGAGCTCTATTTTATTAAAAGTTTGGCTTCATCTATTAGAACACAGCCCATTTTTAACTTCTTTAAAACTTAGAAAGTGTGTGTGCCGGGGACGCCTAGGTGGCTCAGTTGGCTAAGCGTCTGCCTTTGGCTCAGGTCATGATAGGGTCCTGGGACCGAGCCCCACATTGGGCTCGCTGCTCAGCGGGAAGTCTGCTTCTCCCTCTACCTCTGCCCCTTCCCAGCCCCCCACCCGCTTGTGCTCTCCCTCTCTCAAATAAGTAAATAAAATCTTAAACAAAACAAAACAAAACCTTAGAAACTGGTACCTGAAACAGGTAAACATTTTTCCTGAAATCTCAAAATCCTTTGAGCACGCAAAGATAGAGGACATTCTGTCCTTCTTTTCCTTCTTCTGCCTTTGGACTTGGTTAACAATAGCTCCATTTAAGACGATCTAAGTTGGTCCTTCTGAAGTTTTACAAGTAAATACAAATCTCAACACAAACATCACTGACCATGACCTGACATTCACTTTGCCTAAAAATCATATTAATATTTTTTATTAACTGTCCACTGGTGAAAGCAAGCATTAGGTCAGAAAGGAGAACAAGTTGTTCTATTTATTTCAGTTATTAGATATTTTAAAAACCCAGGGTTCCGGAGAGGGTGAACAGAGCCATACTGTGCACGAACCACCAGCATCAGCCAAGGTCCAAGGTCCTCATAGACAAATGACCTCCTTTCTAGACCACCAGATTTCTTTTCAAACTCTGCCCTCACCTGCCTCCAATTTGCAATAACAGAAATTGTGCTATGTGTTTGTTACATAATCAGCAAATATTTATATTTACCAGGTCTAGCACCCTTGTTCTACTCCAATGCCACTGAACGTATTGCACTCACCCTAGAAAGCTCTCTGATTAGACAGGGCACATGATGACACATGACATAACAACTCCTCTGCCCAGGGCATATGACAAAACAGATCAACTTTCAAATACCAATGTTGGGAGCATGTTTCTCCCCGTGTGCCCCTCTCTCAAGCAAGGTGCACACACTGTGCAGATCACATGGCAGTTCACATGAAACTTTCATTGTAAGCAGCTCAGGAAGTATCATTTCTGCTTCAGTGACTGCACCTCAGAGTCAGTGGCTGTCTCCAGAATCACTCTCTCATATTTACTGCAATAATTTTCTTCTTGCAAAATCATTCTGTTCACAATGTTAAAAAACGTAACCAGTGTTAAAATTCAAATAGGTAACGAGTAACGGTGACTGTGCTTTGCGGGGTGGTCCTTAAGACCGAGAAATAGAAGATCTAAAGTTGGGTAAAAGCCAATGATATTTGCTGGAGTAAGACAATATAAGAAATTCAAATGAAGCCCTCCATTTAGGATTCAACACTGACTTTCAATTCCCTGCTGTGTCCTTGAAAACGGAGCAGCAAAGCACCAACAAACTGGACTGTGAGTAATTATATCCTGCTCTGACCTGTTACGCAGGGATAGTGAGTTGCTACTCAAAGAGGTGATTACTAACCACAGGAAGAAGAGTAAAGTTTAAATGGGAGGGAAGGGAAGGGAGGAAAGGTAGGCATATGAAAAAACAGCTATTCAGCGCCCACTCAGCTTTCACCCTTTGTAGTGTTCTAGAAAGGAATACCAGACCTCCGGTTTCACGCCTGTAGCTGAGAAGCAAAACTAACATCTGTGAACCAACAATTCACCATGCAAGAAAAACTATAATTAAGTGCCAATTATGTGATACCATCTCAGTATCTGCTTTTATCCCAGGAGGTAGGGCATGAGGGGGTACAGCAAGTCCTTGAACAAAGCCTCACCTAATTAATAATCAAAACAAATTAAGATGATGGATTTTTGTTTGTTGTTCTGTTCTGTCCTTATTTGAGTACATCCAACCTGTCGAAGGTAAACAAAGTAAGGTATGGGAAGAAAGAGGGAGCAGCGGGGAGAGGGAAGATTCTTTCACAAAGCAGGGGTTACTTAGCACCTGGTTCCCTACTTTCAGTCAACAAACATTTACTAACCCTTTCCCACGCCCAAAGTACAACTTGCCGTTTTCACTTTTTTCTCCAAATACCCCGCTGCGCCCCCTCCCGCCGCCCAGCCGGAACTGCTGGGCCAATCCGAGCACAGTGCAGAGCAGCAGCATCGGCACTTCGCCTGAAGCGCACGCGTGCTGGGGCTCCTGACACGTGTTCCGAGCCCTTCACAGAAGACTTGCCCCATACAGCCAACAGACGCTCGAAAACCTGCACAGAGTAGTGCAGCGCCAGCACCGAGCCGCCTTCCGACTGCGAAAAGGCAGAGCTCCCTGTCCAGAAAGCGTCCGGAGGCTCGAGCGCCCTTTTCACTCGCTCCTCGCCTGAACCGCCTCCCCAGCGCCCGCTCTCCGCCGTGCCCGCCGCCGGGCCGCCGCCGGGCCGCCTCCGGGCCGCCTCCGCGCCTACCTCCCTCTCCGTCAGGTTCTTGTCGGGTCCCAGCAAGTAGGGGGTCAGGAAGGGCTCGGACGGCCTGAGGCTGGCGAAGAAGCCGTAGGCGCACAGCAGCGCAGTGGGTAAGAACCAGCATTCGCGGGGCACGCGGGGCACGCGGGCCGTGCGCCGAAGCACGGTGGCAGCCGCCGCCGCCGCCCGCCGGGATCCCGGGCCGGGCACATCCATTCGGGGTGCGGAGGGCGGGGGCCCGGCCCGGCCCCTCTCCTCTCCCTCTCCTCCTCCGCCCGCCTCAGTGAGGCTCTAGCGCTGCCGCGGCGCGGAAACGTGGAATCGCGAGCGGCGCCCTTCTCAGGGGAGCCAGGTCGCGCAGGGCTAACTGCCGCCTCCGCGGGCAGCCCTCCAGTTTTCCCGGCTGCGGACGCCTCGCGTGTTACCGCCCGAATGCGAGACCCACCCCCCAGGACCGCCCCCCCGCCACCGCCCCCGCGCGCGCAGCCAATCGCAGCGGACGCCTAGAATTTGGCTTCTCTCCCATTGGTCGCTGACTCAGAGGATGCGAATGGGCGCGGGCTGAGCGCGAGTTCGCTGACGTCCGCCGACCTGCAGGGCTTGGGCTGAAGACATGGAGGACTCCGGTTGCGGAGCCGCGTTTGTTGCGGCGGTGCGCGCCAGTCAGGCGGAGCGCCTTGCGCGCACGCTGCGGTCGGCTCGGTGTACCTCCCCGAGGGCCTAGTCCCCGCCGAAAGGAATGCGCTGTTCCACATACTCACTCTCTCCCGCTCTTAGTCACCATCCCTCCGGAGTTTATTCAGACTACTCACGAGAGACTGGCTGAGCTGCCAAGGCTCGGGCAAGATTTAACCTTGGGGTGGGGAATGCCAGACCTTTCCTCCCTCAGCTCTCATGTCTTAAGTTGCATTCATCTGCCAATAAAAAGACACTAGAAGCCCAGGATCTAAGCACCCGGGGCGTTTACCAACAGAAGAAAGTGGATAAAACATTTAGAGAATGAACGAGTGCAGTGGAGTCCTAATGAAAGGGCTTTAGCTTTATCTCATTACTTTTTTCAAGCAGGACACCAAGAAGGCAAACATAACTGTAGCTATGGCCTGTGTTTAAAAGGAAAGTGGCAAATCCTGAGTCACTAAAGCAATCAAGAAATATCGATCTCTTTATTAAAAACAAAACAAAACAAAACCAAAAAAGAGGTCTTGGCATAGTTTTCAAGGGCAAAGCATGACAAGAATACCCAGTGCTTTCTCTCATCTCTCTCTAAGCCTCTTTCTGCCTGACTCAGCCTCTGTCCCAATCATTCCACTGCAGACCGAGCTGCACCATTTAAAGCAATTTTTTCCCTCTGTAGTATTTGCAAAGTAGCAGATTCTTTCAGAAGTTAACAGAACCAAGTATTTGGACTCTCTGTTTTGCTTTAATATGTTACCACACATCTAGCTCAATTTTCCTCCTGTGATAGCAAGTAACTTTTTTTTTTTTTGCAAGCAGATACATCAGCCACAAAAATGAGTCTACCGGATGCAGCAACCTGCCAGTAAAGGAAAAGATTTGTTTTTAAGGCTGCACAAGTGAATGCACCAAAATATGGGTTGATTAATCTAAAGAAATGCAGTTGACGGTATTTACGTCTACCAGTGGGCCTCAAAGTGTGATCCAGAAAATCCTAGGGGTCCCTGGGACCTTTTTAGAGCTCCAGGAAGTCAAACTACTTTCATAATAATACTAAGACTTTATTTCCTTTATTTAATAATAAGCCTTACTTTTCCACTCCAGAGGCTACCTGATATGTGATGACATCATCACACTAAAGGCTAAGAGAATGTGGGCTTGCATGTTTATGTGTTTAATAAACTTTCTGGATTTAATTTCTGATATGGTAAAGATCAGTAGGAATAAGCCACAAAAACAAGAAGTCTTTAGGATCCTAAATAACAGGAATCTTGAGACCAAAAAGCGAGAACATCTAATCTACATAATACAATTATCTAGTTCCTAAACTGCAGCCGTAGTATTTACCTCTCATCATGACGCCAGAGAGAACACCAGTGGTCCTCTTGGCAATTGCTTTGTACATTCAGTGCTTTAGCAGAAGAGAAGAAGGAAAGAGAAAGAAAGAGCAGAGGCCTCAGAAAGAGAAGTCTACCTGTTAAGAACAGCTTTCTGTCCCTTCCCTGAGGCTGAGAGACCTGAACTGTGTTAATCTGTAAGTCACTGGTTCTGAAAATTTCCCTGGTATAAATCACTTAGGCACCTCAAATCCTCTTTGAAATGTTGGGCATTAACAAATAATAATTGTTCTCGAATTGGGCAGAAAATGTTTTCATTATTTTTCTCTAAAAGAGTATGCTAGGCAGAATTCTAAGAATGACCCCCAGTGACCCTTGCCCTTGTATAATCCCTACCCCTTTGAGTGTGGGGTGGAACCCGTGAATTTGATGAGATAATGCACCTGCGACACATTATACGGCAACATGAGATTATCCAGGTGGACCCAATCTAATCACAAGAGCCCTTTAAAAGCAGAGAATTTTCTCCAGATGGTAGCAGAAGAGAAAGAGATATTTGAAGAGTGAGAAAGATTTGATGTGCTGCTGCTGGAGGGGGCTATGTGCCAAGGATGTGGGCTCCCCGTAGTAGTTGAGATTGACTCTTGGTTGACAGCCAGCGAGAATTGGGGATTTCAGTCCTTCGGTCACAAGTAACTGAATTCTGCTAACAACCTAAAAGAGCTGAGAAGTAGATTCTTCTTCAGAGCCTCCAGCCTGTCCAACACCTTAATTTCTGCCTGTGAAACTAGGTAGGGAACACCCAAGCCCACCTGGACTTCTGATGTATAGAACCATGAACTAAATTGTTGTTGTAATTTTTAAAAAAATAATAAAAATTTTAAAAGTTGTAATTTTTTAAGCTGCTAAATTTGCGGTAATTTGTTATGCAGCAATAGGAAAGGAATACAGAGGCAAATAGAATATATTTTTTAAATCAGGGTAGTAGTCACATAATATAAGATTATCCATTAACTCTCTGTATGTACAACTCAGTGGCATTAGTCCATTCGCATTGTTGTGTAACCAGCATTGCTACATAGTTCTAAGACATTTCGCCACTCCAAAAGGAAACTTGTAGCCATTAAGCAATTGCTTTCTCTTCTTCCCTTCCCCCAGCCCCTGGGGAACACTAAATGTGCTTTCTGTTTCTATGGATTTACCTATTCTGGATGTTTCATACAAAGGGAATCATACAGTATGTGACCTTTTTGTATCTAGTTTCTTTCATTTAGCATAATAATTTTAAGGCTCATCAACATTGTAGCAAAGAATCAGTACTTCATCTCTTTTTATGGCTGAAACATATCCCATCTTATGTGTATAACACATTTTGTTTCTCCATGCTTCAATCGATGGACATTTTGGGTTGTTTCTTCTTTTTGGCTATTGTGAATAGTGCTGCTATGAACATGAGTGGGCAAGTGTTTGTTTGAATACTGGTTTTCAGTTATTTTGGGTGCAGAGGAGTGGAATTGCCAGGTCTTTTCATAATTCTGTTTAACTATTTGAGGAACTGCTGAACTGTTTTCTGCGGAGCCTGTACCAGTTAGTGTTCCCACCGGCAATGTACAAGGGTTCCAGTTTCTCCACATCCTTGCCAACACTTGTAGTTTTCCTTTTTTTTTTTTTAAATATGTATCCTAAGGGGTGTGGAGTGGTATCCCATTGTGATTTTCATCTGCATTTCCCTGATGACTAATGCTGTTGAGCACCTTTTCATGTATTTGTTAGCCATGTATATATCTTTTGTGGAGAAATATCCATTCATGTCTTTTGCCCACTTTTGATTGGATTGTTTCTCTTTTTGTTGTTGAGTTGTAAGAATTCTTTATATAATCTGGATATTAGAGCCTTGTCAGAGAGATGACATGCAAATATTTTTGCCTATTCTGTAGGTGTAAATAAGCTATTGAGGGACAGGTTTTTTTTCTCTATTAATATATAAAAGCATGTGGGGATGTGTGTTTTTCAAAAAGAATTATATTATGTACTTTCAAATCTTGCTTTCCTCGGGAATAATTTGTAGAAAACGCTCCATTGTGATAAGGGTAAGCTCTAATTCTTTCTGATGCCCCATTGTGTGGGTGCACTATAATTTATTTATGGCCATTGACTCTGTTTCTAGGTTTTTGTTCACTGCCCACAATGCTGCAATTAACATCCTTGTACAATATATGTCTATGTATTGTTTGCTTCATTTTTATGAAATTTATTTCCAGGAGTGGGATAGCCGGGTCAGAGTATATGCGTTTTTTTATTTTAATAGGCATTGTTCAGTTGTTTTCCATAAACCAGCAACATGAGAATATTTGTTTTGCACTGCATCCTTGCCAACAATAGGTGTAATCAATTTTTTGTTTTAATTTTTGCTAGTCGGATAGGTGGAAAATCAGTGGTTCTCAACTTGTAGTGATTTTTGTCCCTTCCAGGAGACATTTGGCAAAGTCTGGAGATATTTTTGACTGTCATAATTGTTAGTCATGGTGGGTGATAGGTGCTACTAGCTTATAGTGGACTGAGCCAGGAACTCTGCCAAACATCCTACCATCCCAAAGACAGCCCCACAACAAAGAGTTATCCAGCCTACAAGGCCAACAGTGCCAAGGTTGAGAAACCCTGGTATAAAGAGCTACCCCCTTTTATCTTCAGTTTGAAAGTCTTTATGGGTGAGTTTGAACATCTTTCCATATGTTTGTAAGCTGTTTGGATTTACTTTTCTGTATTTTACCTATCTTTGTCCTTTGCTCATTTTTCTTATGGTTGTTTATCCCTATCTTATCAACTAATGAGAGCCTTTTATATTTTATAAACCCTTTGTCCTCTTCATTGAAAATATTATTTTTTAAAATACACTTTTTATTGACTTGTTTGCCAAATAGTCAAATCTTATTGAAGAACATAAAGCAAAGTTTGAAAAAAATGGTCACACTATGCCCTTAGATAGGAAAACATCATAAAAATGTTCCTTTTACCAATTTATAATCTTAATGTAGTTCCAGTTGGAATCCAAACAGTATCCAATTATGGTTCCAAAATTATCTTAAAGTTTATATAGAATACTAAATGTATAAGAATGGCCAATAAAATTTTGCAAAGAAAGACTAGCAAGGTATACTTACATCCCGGATATCAGAACATACTTTAAAGGTACTGGATTAAAAAAAAATTGGTAATGTTATTGGAATAGCCCACTATGTAAGTGAAACAGACCAGAGAATACAGAAATAGGGCTCACTATCTATGAACATTTAATAAATGACAACTGTTTTGTTCAATTAAGTGAAAAAAGGATGGATAATTTAATAAATGTTACTGGCAAAACTGTTGATCCATATGAAGGAAATTAAATTTGGAAAA